AAATAACCCCAGTGTGGCAAAGGTGCGATGGGATAGGCATCTCATCCAGTCAGGGGGAGCGTGTATGGTGTCACCTCCCGGGACAGCGCCTGGGCAGTCTCTACAAAGGGATTTTGAAAACACACAGGCTTTGGCCCAGTACTTCCCTCCTCTGAGTCCAGCTTAAGGAACCGTTCAAAGACACGAACAAAGGCAAAATATTTACATCACAGCACGATCTATCACGGCTGAAAACCGAGGACCATCACAGAACGGAGTGACACGGTTGTTTGAAAAACCGTGTTTCTGTTTCCACTCAAGTCAGGAACAACACACACACGCCTGCTTGTACCACTGCCTACGACAACTTACTGGAATTTTCACTCAATTCAGGGGGAAGACACTGGCAGGATTCTCAGAACAAGGGCGTGAGGTTATCGTTACGTGCAGATCCCATTAGACACCTGGGACATCCAAAAGAACCAACTGAAAACTACCGTCAACAGCAAGATAACTCAGTGGGAAAGCAGGATGCGAAAGCGAGACACAGAAATCAGCCGCCTCCGTATAAATGATCAGCTACTCAGAAGACACAAGAGCAACCACAGTAAGTATCAGGGCATAAAACTTAGTAAGAATTGTAAAAAACCCACATGATGGATACTTTAAGAACACCCCGAAGGAAACGAAAGTGGACTTGGCACAGCCCACTCTTAGGCCAGAGGACGCAAACAATTCTAAAGATGCCAACCACCCCCCACCCCCGGACATTTAACACATGTGACAGATCCTGATAAAAACACTACTACTTTTTCTGCAATGAAAGGAGTCACTTCAAAGTTCCTACTGTTTGTGATGGTATCAGTATTATTGCTGTGAATTATTTTAATAGGATATAGCAATGATTCTGTCAATGATCTTCAAAACCAAGATTTTCAGTGTAAAAGAGAAAAAACTGAAGACTCAAGAAACACATGAAAACACCATGATGTTAAGGCTGAACTGAAAACGTCAATATGAACGTAGCATTCATACGTATATAGATTCATATCCCACCTCCCTCCGTCGACAACACCTAAAAGCATCATCAGTCTGATAGCAACAAGCACCCCTACTCCCCTCCCCAGATTTTGGTCTCTAAAGTCAGTCCTCACTGAAAGGAATTGGGGCTCTCTGAAAGTGGCCGATTCTAAGTCTGGGGCAAAGAAGGCACCAAATGAGACTGGGGAACATCTTACTATGTCAGAAATCAAGGAATCAAAAATAAATGTGTCCCTGTCAAAAAATACACACGTGTCAACCCAAAGAATATCCAGTGGTTAAAATTTTGTATCCCTACATCATAAGAATAATGATTTTAGCAAGCTGAGGCACGCTGAAATCAAATAAAAATGCCCAAGTCCATACCGCTATTCAAAAAAAAAAAAAAAAAGAAAGAAAGAAAAGAAAATCAGAAAAACCTTTAGTTTCCACCATGTGAGGGAAAGTGTAAGTAAAAGGCAGAGCGTCAAGCCTATCCTGACGTTCAGGAGGAGCTGTATGTCAAGCCAAGTGTCTCTAGCTGGTGAGAAACAGCTCTGCTGTCAGAAGAACTCCAGCTTAACTGATGACTCTCTGGCAAGGCTGCTGAGTCAAGTGAAGGCTCCGCTGTGGGTACATGGTGCTGGCGTGGGGCTGGTGGGGACAGGCCAGCAGGAGGCCACAGCCTACCTTTTAGATCACCACCCGTGCTTTTAGCCAGCCCAGCTGCAGAGGGAAGGGTCAGGGTCTGACGGGGAGATCAATCCACCACCATCACCCTAACAGTCCCTTCCACTGCATGAATATCCCACACTAATGTCTCCTGGGTTCTACAGCACGTGTCTGACGCTCTCCACCCAGAAAAGGGTTCTATTTTCTGGAACCACAGGGAATAAGCAGGACATTTTTTTAAAAAGATTTTATTTATTTATTTGACAGAGGTCACAAGTAGGCAGAGAGGCAGGCAGAGAGAGAGGGGGGGACGGAGGCTCCCCACCGAGCAGAGAGACCGATGCGGGGCTCAAACCCAGGACCCGGGGATCATGACCTGAGCTGAAGGTCGAGGCTTTAACCCACTGAGCCACCCAGGCGCCCCTAAGCAGGACGTTTTATGGGACAACTGGCTTGACTAATTTAACAAGTTGTAAGAAACTCGTGCTGTGATTTATAACATGCCCAGACTGCCAATGGCATCTGGCAGAAACAGCAGAAATAAATCCCTGCAGAAGAAGATTCTTTCTTTTTTTTTAAGATTTTATTTATTTATTTGAGAGACAGAGTGAGACAGAGAGCATGAGAGAGGAGAGGGTCAGAGGTAGAAGCAGACCGATGTGGGACCCGATTCCAGGACTCCGGGATTACGATCTGAGCCCAAGGCAGTTGCTTAACCAACTGAGCCAGCCAGGTGCCCGAAGATATTTTTGATTTAGGTTTGGACTTATTTTAAATAGTTGACTACAGTGACCAGCATATGGCAGAAAACAGGTACTCGAGGAAGGAAGACTGCATGAACAAAGTCTGGCAAGGATGATAACATCATTTGACGTAGACGGCGAAGCCGTGGTGTTTACGCCACCCACAGAGATGGAAGAACAGAAAAATAGGAAAAAGTCATACTGCAGGTGAAAAATGTAACTTCTGTGTCTGTGATGAAAAGCTCAACAAGGGGAGTTCAGGCCGTACAAGACAGACCTGCAGAGTCCCAGCAAGGTGACAGAAGTTAAGCGTGGTGTTCAGAGATTGCGAGAGCAACTCAGCAAGGTAATTTTATGTCTATTGGCTATAATAACACAAAGCGCTGAATTTTATATTTCATTGGTATAGTTATTTATTTTCACTGTATATTATGAAGGTATTCCTCCCATGAAGGGTTGAAAATTAAGAGAAAGAAAACCAGTCCTTCATCAGCCATAATGTAAGACCCTCTCATCGAAAATATAGCTTGGGAAGTCACAAAAAGCTGGAGAAACAGGGGAGGAATAAAAAGGAATAAATGAAAAAGCCCAATACATGTTTGTTTAAAGCCAAAGGAAAAACAAGACGAATGCAGAAGCCATAAGGGCTGGGAGCCTTCCAGACCCAAGGAAATAGAATTATCTGTGGGTGCACGACGAGTCCCGAAAAAGACGGGCAATAAACAAAGCTGCGTCTGGACACCCAGCAGGGGAGCAACGAAAAAGCAACGTTACAGACAAGAATCAAAACAGCGGCCAGAGTCACAGTCCCTTCAAACACTGACTTGGGTTTCTTGATGTGGAGGGAAGGCAAAGGCGATGAAACGGTCAGCTTCGTTGTTCTGAAGGAAAATAACGATTCAGGCCTCCGTGAACATCTCTCAGGAATGAGGGCAGAAGAGAGATATTTTCTAGAGAAATAAAGAACGCGCCACCGCTAGACCCTCATGGAAGGAGATTCTACATGACGTCGTCGTCAGACAGAGGGAAAGTGGTCCCGGGAGGAGAGCCGGAGATGCAGGTGGGAATGATGAATGAACGGGTAAGCAGGGGTGAGTCCCCATCAGAGACCGACCGTGACCGTGAGCCTGCAGTGCAGGAGTGTCAGGGGCTGGAGGGAAGACTCAGCGGAGGGTCTCAGAAGACGGCAGTACCAGCCTGTTCCGCGGTGACGGTGTGTGTTTGTAAATGACTGGACTTCACGGCTTACAGAAGCGCTGGACGTGCAGTGCGGAGCTTCCCGGTCACCGGCCACCTGCTGCCCGTCATCAACTTTCTGCATTTGTTACAACTCATCAGCCAATACCGACGCATCATTATACATTAAATACTGCAGTTTCCGAGAGGTTGTGTTCGTGTGTACTCTACATGTTTTGACAAATGCAAAATTCCACGTATCCCCTAACCTGGTAGCATACAGAATGCGTCCACTGTCTTGAAAATCTCCTGTGCTCCGTCTACTAACCCCTCCCCGAGATGAGTTAGTATGCGTCTTATCGACGACGACACTCAATCCAACATAAGCCCGATTCATGCCCGGCAAGCTGCAGGGACAGCGGGATTCCCAGCAGGTGAGCGGCAGGAAGTACATCTGCGAATCCATCAACTGGTCCCTCCCCCTGCGTTCCTTCCGTCCTTTCCTTCATCCCTCCCCCTGCCTGGCTCGTCTGCACTGAACCCGCTACCTGGCCCTGGAAGGCACTGGAATACACCTGCATAGACGCACCTCCTGCTCTGGGCTCATACATCTTGCAAAAGACCCATTGTTAGTAACCGGACGTATGCAAAATGTCTGGGGCTTCACTTATAAGGCTAGTCTTAATATCTTAGTCAACATAAAGGTTTTCAGAGGTTCGTGTTCGACTTTGGGGTCCTTACACTATGTTCCTCGGTCTTACGTACTTCAACCTCCACGTCTCCTGGGGACGTACTTACAGGGATTGAACGCCCTCGGATGGAAAGAGGCAACGGTTCCATTTCAGGGGAAACTCAAAGCAAAGGTCACCCTTTCCTGACTGATCTCAAATAGAAAACCCTTGGGCAATGTAAGCCCCAAATGAGTCATAAAGAGTAAGTCCACAAAAGACGATGGTTACAGTTCTCACTTCTCCAACCCCAGGAAAGCAGAGAGGCATTGCTATAGTTTCAAAACCTGTCCCCTGGCAGTGGCTCCTTTCTGACTCACTGGAGCTCACATGTGACAAGTGCCATGGGGAGAATTACTTGAAGGGGACACCAGCCAGCCTGGTGATGGTTCACACGGATAGATTTAAAGCCTCCCCTCTGCCTTTTCCAGCGTGTTACACATAGAACACAGTCGCGATTACGTTTTTATCTCCGACGGCTCCGGAATCTGGAGTATCAGTTGGGTCAATCAGGTAGTGGCATTTTAATTGAAAAAATAAAACAGAACAACACAAACCTCAATAAAGTGACCCGAACAGAAACTAAACACAGCCGAGGCAGGAGAGGCTGGCGAGCTACCCAGATATGACTCCGTCTCCCTACGTGGGCACGCTTGGACTTTTAAAAAATAAGAGAGATTACCTTTTAAAGACGGTAGTTTCTGAAGTTCTCGGTTATTGCTGGCGTTAAACCGGGAGGAATTTTGCCGCTTGTCTTTCTTCACTATGGGCTGAGGCACTGGTACCTTAATTTTACTAGACACTGTCGATGGGGTGGCCACAAGGCTGTTTTTCCTGCTGGAAATCTGTTTCCAAAATAAAAACAGAAACACATGCGTACCTCAAAGCGTTGTCTTTTACAGCATAGTTAGAATCTGGAATATATATACGAGTCTTGCTCAGGGACGGTCCCTTCCACTCCGCCGTAAACACCAGTCCTTAGAGTGGAGTCTGAGTGACCTTCCACTGCTAGTAATGCTGGATTTCCAAGAATTCACAGACACGCCTCATTTCTCACGTCTTCCTTCAAACTTTTTACTCTAAACATTTCCCATATAGGCTGACATATAGAGGCTGATGACTGTGACCCTCCAAAGACGTTCACGTCCGAATCCCTGAAACCTGAGAATACGCTTCCTTACTTGGCCAAAGGGACTCTGGAACGGTGACGAGGTAGGGATCCCGGACTGTCAGCATGGGCCCCGCGTCATCACACAGGTCTCGACAAGACAAGACAAGACAAGACAAGGCAACACAAGCAGATGACAAAGCAGAGGAGAGAGCCTCAGAGAGACTGCTAGAAGCCAGGGCACTGGTTTGGAAGGCAGAGGAAGGGGTCATGAGCCAAGACGCACAAGAGGCCTATGGAAGCTGGAAGAGGACCAGAAATGGATTCTCCTCCAGGGCTTCAAGGAAGAACTAGCCATGCTGCCATCCTGATTTTGGCCCCATTTTAGACGTCTGACCCCTGGGACTGTGAGATCATCAGTTTGTGGTCCTTTGCACAGCAGCCTGGGGATCTCACGGAGACACGTGTCTGAGGACACATGTCTGCCTCAGGAGGGGAGGGGAGCCTGCAAACACCCAAGCAGAGGTGGCAGGGGGCAGGGGGGCATGTGCAACAGACACCCGCACAGGCCCACGGGGCGAGGGCACCCAGGGAGCTCAGATGGGCCTGGCCCCTAGTGAGAGTCAATTGAGCGCTGACCGTCAAGATTCTCTGTGCAAACTGCTCACTCCTCCCACACTTCCAGTCCCCAAAAGAACGGAGTCTGTACATGCACATGTGCACTTCTGAAAAGCCTACCAAGTTCATCCTAGAAATACAAACCCGCCAAGCTCCTTCCAGTCACACTGAGCTAGGAGAGTAGACACGCCAGCTAAAGCCCCCAGCTATGTGCTCTCCTCTGGGAGTGGAATTTTTACTAAGAAGGCAGAAAAGCCTTATTTTTAAATAAGGTGCTTAGGACCACTTGGGAAGAGTTTTCCAAGATGCCAGACGCCTACATGCAGACAGGACTCTGAATCAGGAGCGAGGGCCTGGGCTCCCTCCCCTCCCACAGTCAGCAGCCTCTTCCTTGAAAGGGCTTTCCCGGATGTGGCCCTTGACACCTGTCTCTCCTCCACCCGATTGGGAAAGCTGGGTCTTCTTCCTTAAAAACGCTGTCCATTCCTCTCCTCCTCCCAGAATTCCCTAAAACCCCTAGTTTTCACTCCCCAGTCACAGATAGTGCCTCCTAGGCCAAGTCCCTGTTTTAAATGTTGTTACATGCACACATCTACTAAAGTTGACATCTCCCTTCCACTTTCTACGACGCCAAACCCCGTGCACCACACATGCTGACCCCGAGGACAATGGGGCACATGCGGCTCCCTCCCAGACAGGAGCGGAACCACAGCTCCTGCAGCAAAGCTTGGAACACCAGCACCGGGCGACTGGCTAACTCATGAAATAGAGTTAACTCCACGCGTATCCACAGCCCGTGTAGGACACACGCTGAGACGAGCCTTCGAACGTCTTCGAACAGAGCAGAAAGTCATCCCCAAGACCTGCTGACTTGGAGCCCCTGGCCCCTCTGTGTGGGGCCTGCTGGCCTCCCTCCCTGAGAGCACTGTCCTTGGGGCAGGCGGAATGAGCTTCTAGAAGGAAGACCTGGTCCCATGACCCAGGCTAACCCACTGTAGCCTCTTCTCAGGGCTCTCAGCCCGCTGGCTTAACGGTGGTCTATAGAGACCCATGCTCGGGTCACCAGCCCTGCTCCGGTCACCAGCCCCTGCTCCAGCCGGGCCTGTGCCTTGGCCCCGCTTCCCCCCTGCCCACCCCGAGTGTGGCTTCCTGAGGCCTCCATGTGGCGCACTCCGCTCTGTGGGCCGCTGCCTGACAGATGGGCTTGGCTACGAGATGGCTGTCTCATCCTTCCCCCGAAGGGATGTCAGCTCCAGGAGGGCTTGGACACCCTGCTGGCATGTCCTGTGAGAGTGGGGGACTGCCCTGCACTGGGCGGGTCAGGGAGGCCCCTCTGAGGGCACACGTGTGTGTTGGGGGAATAGCATTTGGGCAGGGCCACCAAGAGTGGGGGCTCGGCGTGACCACCCTTGCCGCAGACAGGCAGGCTCCAGGGGAGCCTGGGGGCCACAGGTGCTGGCAGAGCCCACAGCCGGGTCAGAGTCTGACCTTGACCTGGCCAGCACCTGGAAGCCGTGCAGGGGGCCCTGAGCAGGGTGAGGGTGTGAATCCATCCTCCTGTTCAAAAGGTGCCTCAGGCTGCAGTGCGGACTGCGGATGGCAGGGGAGGGGACGGTCTCCGCTGCCAGTCCGACCGCACACCGCACCAGTGGACGGCAGGTGCATGGGTGACAAGGAGCGCTGGTGGGGGGCACGGAGAACCAGCAGGCGGTAGCTGGCGGCCCCAGTCACTGTGGTGGGAAGGAGAAAGGGGCTGGGAAGCCGGGTCATGAGCACCCTGGGTCCGAGCGGAAGACATGGGGACGCCCTTCCTCACTCCTCCACGACGCTCTCTTCTTCCTGTGGATCAGGGCCGCAGTGCTGTCCCGGCCGCCGCCTGGCCGTCCTCAGCTGCCTTCTCTGCCTGCGCAGGGCCTGGTGGTGTGGCTGTGTGACTGGCTCTCAGACACCCCGTGTAAGCCGGACGTGAACTTGGAAGTTACCCATCTACACAGTCACTGAAGTCACTGATGAGGAAGACCGCCCTGCAGGGAGCAGCGTGGCAGAGGTGGAGGAGGAGGGCGCCAAGGAGAAGGACGAGGCTGAGGGAAGAGTGTTTCAGGAAGCAGGTCAACCCACCCGACGGCCCTGAAAGCCAAAATCTGTGGACTTGGACTCGTCATCCTGGGGCCGGCGGAGGCTGCTGAGGGCAGCGAGGCAGCAGCAGAGGCCACTGGGCTGAGGCCAATCTGGGGAGGCCTGGGGTGTCCATAACAGCTTTGGGAAGGTGGCAGGAAGAGCAGTGTCAGGGCAAACGGCAGTGCCATAGCAGGGACCTTGGGACTGTCTGGAAAGCGAGGAGCTTGATCGTGCCACGTGCCTACGGGGAGGGCACCGAGGGGAGGCGTGGCTGAGGGACAGATGCACCAGGAGCCGATCTGGGCCCCGGTGTGCAGTGACAACAGAATAGAGGACAGACGGGACAGGACAGAATGGCTGTCCGTCTGACGCCCTCCCTGAGGTGTGCAGACATACGTGGTCACCCACAAGAAGCACTCGGAAGGGAGGCGAGGCCCAAGGAGATGAAGAGGCCCGAAGGGGTTCTGGAGCAGCAGAGCAGGGCAGGGGCCTGGAGAAATGGAGACGCTCTGAACACCTCCTTCTCCTCAGGGCCAAGTACCAGCAGCCAACGGGACATGAAGGGGTCGGCGCCCCGAAGGGGCACTGCCCACACAGAACTGCCCATGTTCCCCGACAGTCTCTGCGACCCCCCAGCCCAAGCATGGCCAGCCGCTGTCCTGAGCCCTAACCAGGGCGGGCGCCCGGAGCAGCTGTCACGCTGGGCAGGGCCATCTCCCGGGATTGTGCAGGGAGCCGTGGAGCCAGACCGGGGACCTCGCTCAGTCCCTGGATTTTGGACACCACCTCCCTTGTGTCTGCCATCCAAGCAGCTATACCCTCCCAACATCTTCGAAAATTCTCCCCGTCTGCAGTCGTATGATGAACGAGCACCGCCACGGGCCAGAGACCACGAGACCCAGAGCCTGAGAAGCTGACGCGCATGCCTTGAGAGAGCTTTTGAAAGAAAGTCCATCTGAAGAACACGATACTGGAATAAAGACAGCCCCGGAGTTACGAGCCAAGACTACTCCATGGGGAACACTCTTCAGCAGGTGGTGTCGGGACAAGCCTACAGCTGGGGACAGTCAGGCCGAGTGCTGATGAGGGCGAAAAAGGTGGTCTCCCGAGAAACCAGGCTGTCTAGGAGACACTAAGGCTGCTATGTTGGGGCGGCCCCTCCGAGCAAAGCTCTCTGCACTGTGGCCCTTCTGGGCGCGAGGCTGCATGAGCTCGGGGTATGCAGGAGCTGGGCAGCTGACGGGCTTGCGCCAGGGCCCCCGGTTCCGATTCTCGCCCCTCTACTTCCTGCACAGCACCGCAGGGATCTTTTGTAGTACGTGGTCAGATCACCCCCTCTCCCTACTCAAACCAGCTCAATGGTTTCCCACCACCTTAAGAATGAAAACCCCAAATCCTGCCAAGGGCCGCTGACAAGATCCTACTGGACCTTCCCTGCCTGCATCCCACCTCTCTGACTTTATCCCTTCCCCTCAAGCCACCCTCGTCTGTCTGCAGCCGGACTGGCCTTCCCTCCAGCGCACACCCAAGCTCACTCCCGCCTTCGGGCCTCTGCACCGTCTGCTTCCTCTGGCTGGAATGCCCTCCTCCCCCAGATCTCGGCACCACAGCCTCCCACTTCCCATTCGGGTGGCAATTTCAACATCGTCTCCTTGGTGAGACCAACCTGGGCCACCTGAAGCAGGCTCTGGAAACATGTGAACAGCTTCGACATCGCAGTGACCAGAGGGCGCTCCCGGTGTGGACAGCCCCAGGGCCACGGCTCTGCAGGGTGAGAAACCAAACTTCACACACCACCAGCGGCCCTTGTACCCACCAGCACCCCTGCACCCCTGGCACTGTCTGAAAGCCAACGGGGCCCTGCTGTGTGTCCCGCGCTGCCGCCCCAGCACCCACGAGGGTCCTCAGTGCTTTGGACGGTCTCAGAGTGTGCCTGTGGGGGTGACTGTGAATGAGTCACTTGGGGAAAGCCCATGACGGGGAAAGCATGGCTTACAGGGA